ATGTCTTTTGAAGTATAAGGCTTGTTATATTGTCCTGGTCGAAAACGCGCCAAAAAAATAAAAAAAAATAAACACCTCGATATACTGAGGTTAGTTTGCACGTGACTATGTTAAGCGATGGCATAAAAGAACTTTGAACGAATTTTGTTACAAGTGTATGCAGATAATGTATTTAAACTAAATGTTAACTGAATATATATGAAATGAGTTTGTGTCTTCAATTGACAGTATTGTTATATGCAGCTAAGTAACATACTTTCAAATTCTTATAAGAGAATTGCCTTTTTTAAAACGAAATCTATTCCCAAAAGTAAAATTTAGTTTTAAAAAACCTTGTTAACTTTTACCAGTGTCCGTTAAATGTGTGCGAATTTGCTTCAAAACTAAATGTTAAACAAATGAAGCCCTTAGTTATACAGAATTTGGGTTAAATTTATATGATATAACTATCATTAACACTTTGACATTTGTATATGACATTTTAATAATTATGAACCAGCAGACATTCTAATTAATTAATGAATTTCTTAAAGAATATTTATTTATAAAATAATGCCAGAATTTTACACATTACAAAAAAAGATGGCGCCACATGATTACATCATAAAGTCATACACATGGTAATAGCGCGAAAGAAGTGATACCGTAGCACTTAATACAAGATTGAATATTCACAGTAATTATAAACGTTTCCTGCATCCGGGAGGGGGTGATAGGTTCGTCTGGTTTGCATGAAGGCAATAGCTTGAGATTTTCTCTGAGGTGATGTTTAGATTATTATGTCTTGTCTGTGTCACGTGTGGTGTCTCTGTCTTCCATCATGTAGACATATTCCGATTATCTCTGACTGGTCATAATCTCAGACTCATCACTCATGAAGTCTGACATCTAAGATTTTTTATTGGGTGTAGAGCACATGTTTGGCTCAAAATGCTTTGCAATTCTAATATTTCTATATCTTTTATCTCTCGAAATCCATCAAACCAGCATTAAGTCTATTTTAGAAAGGCAAATTCTTTAATTCGATATATGTAAAAATAGGTTTTACCTGGAAAACCTCTTCCAAAGGTTGGGCACGTTACATTAAAGCAATTTTGAATATGCAAATCAGCAAGTCGCATGACAAACACGGCTGATTTAAAGTCGCAGTGGAACGGAATGTATAAGAACTACATTTTAACACTGTTTGGCGTTTAGGTAGTGTGATGCATTTATCAGTTTTGAGAAAGATATGTAACATCCCTTTCCGACGGGCCCGGCATGGCCAGGTAGATAAGGCGCTCGACTCGCAATCTAAGGGTCGCGGGTTCGAATCTCCGTCCCACCAAACATGCTCGCCCTTTCAACCGTGGGAGCGTTATAATGTGACGGTCAATCCCACTATTTGTTGGTAAAAGAGTAGCGGTGGGTGGTGATGACTAGCTGCCTCCCCTCTGGTCTTACTCTGCTAAATTAGGGACGGCTAGCGCAGATAGCCCTCGTGTAGCTTTGCGCGAAATTCAAAAAACAAACAAACAAACCCTTTCCGAGGTAAAAATATTGGTAAACTCAAATCATAAAGATTTGTTCAGGTCAGGAATTTAGGATTTCCAAAACAGTAATATATCCATTGTACTTAACTATGCTGGAAAACAAAGAGATAACAAGTATCATAAAGTGACCTACAACAAGTAGTACTCCAACTGTGATACATAAAATGTATCGTCTTCTAACAAGTGAGAATCTACGAACACAAAGGTCAGTGAAAAAAGCCATCCACGTGCTCCAGGCAACAGTACGTAATATAAAGAAGGATCTCCGTCTGGAAAAGCAACACAATTCAGATGTACTCAAGCTGCTTCCACGACACATTAGTTCGACCGTCGCATATGTCGAGCAGCTGGAGAATGAAACAGCTATCATACTATTCCGTACACAAGTCTCCAGACGCAGTGCCTATGGATTTCTGTGTGATGAGACTGTTTAAACTGGCGTTAAAACAATATCATCTTTATCATCTTTGTACACTAGATGTATTATAGAAGCCCTCAGCCTTAGCCTTTTGCAATGAACGACGTCGCTGGGGTACTTTCAAGTTGCACGACCGTCAGATAGAAAATGACCTATCAGAGCGACAATGGAGTGTAGCGACGTTGTGAGGCTCCAAAACCGTGTTAGTATAATGTACTCAATCTCTTTATAAGTAAACATTAGTATAAATATCAAGTAACAGTAGTAAAGATGAATTTACAAAAAATGCAAATTTTTAGTCATTTCCCAAGTCAGTGTATGCTTATCTCCGAGTTTATGATGAATGTGTTTGGGATGTGTAGAGATTCATGCACAATAAGTGCGGAAAAGGTATTTTTGCTGAATTCTTCAAAACATACTTTTTCTCAGTTGCATTTCCTTTGAGAGCAATATGGAATTTTTCATCCGAATCTGTTTCCAAATCTTCGACAACAACAAATGTTTTTAGTTCTTCCTCACCTCCTACTGCTCTCAGCAACAATCAGCTCAAGTCGTCTGTTTTTAATTCATTTTTACAGACATTAGAATCCAGTCAATTTATTGAAATACATAAAGTGAAAGGCCATTTTCCTGTTTTGCACCGTGCATCGGCGCCATGGTGGAGGAAAAATAAACATTACTAAAATGTCTTAATAAGTTATTGTCATTTGTCATGAAAACCCGAATAACTCGCCAGAGGGGGTAGTGACTAAAATAAGCGGCATACTACGCCAGTCTGTTCTTATATCAACTTTTATGAAACATGGTTAGGATTTCGACATTCTCTTACAAACGAACACAATTTACAAATTTCAGGAAATATTGATTTTAAGAAAGGATACTGAACAAAGCGTCATATAAATATGTTACACAGTAACACGTTTTTAATGTAAATGCAGAATTTAGTTGTAAAAAAAACATGCCCATTACAGAAAGTTTTAAATATAAACTGTTTTATTAAAAACAGCGAGATCAAAATATTACATGCACTAAAGTGGCGTTATGTGCAACAGCTTTCACTAATCTTGAATTTAACAATTATATTGATGTTCCTTCACATTACTTTGCGTGTAACTTTAATAGGCTGTATTATCAAATCTTTTTTTTTTATTTCTTTCAGTAAGAGCTTTTATGCTAAAATTTTCTTAAAGATTTGCGTCAAACCGCAGTTCATTTCAATTCAAGATAAGTGAATCCAGTGTCCGTAACACAACTAACCTTACAAAATGAATAATCTAGTGTCCGTAAAACAACTAATCTTACAAAATGGATAACCCAGCATCCATAACACAACTAATCTTGCAAAATAAATAATTCAAAGTCCGAAATGCAACCAAACGTGCTAAATGAATAATCCAGAGTCCGCAACGCAACTTTAAATACAAATTATGTTTTTCTAAATCATAAAACAAAAGTGTTGATTTTATAAATTAAAAAAAAACCAAGGTTCCTCACGTTATAGTGTTTGTAATTGAAAGTGTATTTGATAAATAATAATAAAGAACACTGTCAAAGCCAAGAGAGACAACAATGTACGAATTTCGAATTTATTTTACGGGAATATTTATCTGGTCGTGTTCCGGGTGGGTTCTTATGGTTAGCATGCCGGACTAGGGATCCCAAGATTTATGGTTTGCGTCCCCTTGCCACAAAGTCGCGTTTCATGCTTTGGGACTGTGGATGCGTTATAAGAGTAGCCAAAGAGTTATAGATGCAGTTGACTCTCTGCCTTCTCTCTATTTCAAAATGAGAACGGCTAACGTAAAAAACCCTTATGTAGCCTTGGACGAAAATTTTTCAACAAATAAGCAAACAAATCATATGATCATTAGCAATTCCTATTAGCGCGTATTTAAAATTTTGTATATATACATATATAAATATATTTATCTCGAGGGTTAGAATAACTAAAAAATACAAATAAACACAGGTAAAGGACAGTTTACAAGATCGTAAAATTTAAATTATGAATTAGGAGGGAAGCTAAGAATAATTTTCAATAATCAGCCACTATAAGCGCATATATATGGTCTAATGTGCTGCATCTAGCTTTAACCGGTGAATTTATATTTTATATTTATGGCAAAGTTACTAAGGCTATTTGCCACGCCCTAATTTTGAATTATTAGCAAGAGGAAAGGCAGCCAGTAAACAGCACTCTACTACCTCCCATCCAGGCTAATAGAATTACTGTTTCTCTTATAACACACCAAACACTTAAAGTGCGCCAAACATCTTGTGGTATCGCATGGATTCGAACACGGATCGCCATCTCCAAAATACGGAGTTCTACAACAGGGTCAACCCATTTCCTGACCTCGTGGAGGAAATGTCATTAACAAACTGCCACTGAATAAATGTTCAGCACCACAATGGTGTAAACGCCAAGTTTGTCATTTTTAAAGCAAAATATTTATCTTAAAGTATATACATCTATCCAGTAAAATACATTATTGAAATGTGATCAAAACTTGCCTGTAACAGCAGCTAAGAAAAACTGTAATTGTATGTTTTAGTTAAATAGAATGAACATTATTTATTATTAAAATTATAGCGTTTCATGTGTTTCTTCTCTTTCTATTAACTGTTGTTTTTAAATAAATAAATATTAAATTAAATGATTCATTGAATACTAGTCTTATAGTCTGGTTCAGTGCATAGTTTTATTCGTAAGTTTCTGTTTCATTCAACAGGAATATTGGTTCAAAAGTTATTAATAATGTTCCCTCGGTGGCTCAATGGTAAGCTTTGATGATTATAACGCTATAATTGGGTGTTCGATCCTTACTGTGAATACAGCAAAGATAGTTTTTTTTGTGCGGCTTTTCGCTAAAAAAACAAGTTACTAATAATTATGTTTATTAAAAAGCGAATTATATACTTAGAATTCGAAAAACTTGGATAAAACGTCATCAATCTTTGTCTGTAGCTCTAACTATACTAAAATGTTTTGCTTTTGACGGCTTTGTTTACGTTGCTGTTTTGTTACAAGTTGCTTACTATTTCGTCAGGATTTGACCGAGCTATTCCTGGCTATGTTCGATATTCCATGATCGGTAATCCAAACCAAGGAGTCCATAACCTACTTATCAAAAATGCTCGGTTGGAAGATGACGGAGAATATCAGTGTCAGGTGAGACTTAATACATTTGTTTCAAGAAAATATTTGCAGTGTGTTTGTTTTTATTTCAACATCTTATTGAATTCCTATAGTAAAATGAACTAATTATACATATATATATATATGTATGATAATTCACAAGAATAATAAGAAATACAAGTATTTGAAGCGGAAAACTCTGTCGGAGCATTAATGAAAAGCAGGGTCTTTTTTAACGGATTTAATTCTCTGAATTATAGAGAAAACCTGTCAACCTTTATATCATCCTTTCACAGCCTTGAAAAACAAGTTTCTAATTTATGGCTACTTTTATTTCCTTAGGTTGGACCAACTCCAGACAATCATGCCATCCGTGCAAATGCCCGACTGAATGTATTGGGTAAGTATATAGCAGTGCATGAGTATGAGTTTTATAGTTACAATCATACTCCTTATTCAGACATGTTTTCAGGCGAATCCTAATTATCATCAGGCGCCTTATACAGGGTGTCTCAAAAGTTCGTACTCATAGCAGAATTCCATATCAACCATTATTTTAACAATTGCTCAAACTGCATGTCATCAACGTGTATATATATATAACATACACACTTTCCCTTGATCTGTAAAGTCACGCATTATACATTTTTTTTCTGAAAAATAAGTAAAAAGATATAAATTATACATAATGTAATAGCCATGAGAACGAACTTTTGGGGTACCTTTATATATATATATCTATAATAATAGAAGGGCGTGTCTGTGTATGTGTGACCGCCATAACTCCAAGACAAAAGATCCTAGAAACCTGAAATTTTGCACTGATACTAAGTGGACTTTGCGAGTGCGCACCTGGGTATATTATTGATATACGTGCATGCGCGTGCGCATATTTTATGCAAAAAACCACATAGAAAAGAAATGTGACCGCCATAGCTCCAAGAGGAAAGAACCTAGAAACCTGAACTTTTGCACCCATACTAAGTGAACCCTAAGGGTGTGCACCCGGGTGTTATTAATTATCTTATCCACGTGTGTACGTACTTGCGCATCTTTTTCGTGAGGCAAGCTAGCGAAAAACCAGATAGAAAAGAAGTGGTTCCTAATACAACACTTCTACTATATACAAAATCCTGAGCGTTTTGGTAACAACACCTTCTAACAATGACTTTTATATCATGTTGCTTAGCAATAAAAGTATAACCTAATATTCTTGTTAAGAGGCTATGTGCTGAAAGTATAAAATGAAATGTATAAACTACAAAATTTAAAAAAAACATTTGTTGTTTTCTAATTTAGAGGCTCCGTTAATTAAAGAGGTTTGTTTTTTATCATTTGTTTTATTATTTATGTTTAAGATCGGAGGACAAGTCAGAGGGAAGATTACTTTTATAAACAGGCCACATCCCGTAAAGGAGCAACAAAAGTAAATAGGTTATACTTTTATGCTAAAATGAGTTCAGAATACACACGCTGACATAGTCGTCTAGAATAAATCAACCTAATAACCCGAGCGAAGCCGGGTACTTTCGCTAGTCTATATAAATATACATATTGGACAAAAAACATTGACGGAGTTACGGCGTCACACGCTGAAAGGTGACTAATAAATGGAACAGACAGGATTAATATTATAAGTAATATAAGTCATGCTATACTGCGTTTTCTCCCACACTTTTCTTAATTATTCTAATATATATTTCAAACTAATTGAGTGTATGGAATAGAATTCCAGATGTACGACTTGTCTCCCACAAGTCACTACCCAAGAGACATTTCGTTAAATACCAGAACTCGTAAGCCGGTAGTAACAAGGAAAATTCTATCCACAATATCATATTATATTCAGTGGGAAGCATTTAATGTTGCAATGTTAAACTCAAAAGGTGGCGAATCAATAGAAAAATTATAAGTGATAAAAATCACACTAAACTGTCACTTTGTCAGCTTTTAAGACCATAACTTTACATTTTGCATACTTTATATAAGATAACATTTTGATAGTCTTTTGGTTATCATAGTATCTAGCCCAGCTGATGAGTCAAATGATAGGCTTCCTGGGCAATTACTTATGATAGATAAATCTGAAATGCTCATTTTTACATCTCCCTGATCTGAAATCCATAACAGACTAAATAAAAGGAATGGAGAAAAAAACTTCCAGTCCAACGTGATATCTCTTAGTGATATCAGACCTATTGATACGATTGTTTAATTTGTCCATTATTTTTTTAACCTGAATTATCACTAGCGTTATAAGCTTTCAAGAGATAATAGTTACCTCTTCATTTAACAATAAATGGAAGATCGTTGTGCTTTGAAGTTCCTTTTTTTATCAAATCTAATGTAAAGTTTTATTGCATTTCGTCGTGAAACACCTTTAAAGGCTCAAACGTAACATAACTTTTTATTTTAATCTAAGTAGCTTAATGAAATATCCTTTTCAAATATTAAAATAAAAGTTCTTTTAATAATCAACGAAGATACTACAAACAATGGGTGGAATACACTGAAAGCAGGTGCGTGTATGTGTTTACGTTTCAGAATATTATTCAATTAATTAAAAATAAACCATATAACGCTAAGATTTCTTCCAAGAATTATTAAAATAAATTTCGATACGTCTCTTCCACAAAGTTTTACTCCATTTGAGTTCAAAAAAGATATTCTACCCATAAGAACGTTGTACTGCTTTGTCCACTAATCACGCATACCACAAACAACGGTTGCTTTCAGTAGTGTGAACACACTTTGAAGATGTTTGTTACCCAGAACATGTGCTGTACTTGCCTAGCCATCAGTAGTTTTACACCTGAGAGGATTCTCATGAAAATAGGTTTTCTTTATGGTTTTCGATGCCAGCTACCATGTTACTTAGAAACACTTTGTATTTCAAGAAATCTTCTTCCGATTTTATTCCTCTTTGTTCTTTGGTTATTGTATTTACATCATCATTGGCGTGTTTAGTTTAGCGGTATTACTCAGGAAATGTGTGGACTAAGTAAAATTTATTGATTTTAGATGCTCAAACTTTCCTTTTCCTCAGCGTAGCTGTAAGCTTCTGATGCAGTAGCGTACCACTGGGGTGCACTTTCTCCATTTGGTTTGTTTTGCTAGATTACTTTATGCGGCGAGGTTTCTGTGGTATTTGTAGTTTCAAAAATGATGGATATGTCCAAAGCTTTTGGTTGTTTCTTTAGTGATAATTTTGAGTACTCTCTATTATTTTGGAAAATCATTCTTCTGTTTACCGTGGTTGTTGAGTAGTTTATCTTATCTGATTATACTTTTCAGGACAACCTTTATATAATTCACTATGTTTCCTATTTTCTTGAACCGCATTAATTCCTTTTAAATCCATCTAATCAAAACTTTTGATAACGGCCTAATATATATTCATTTATTGTCGGTTGTCCCAGATGGCACAGCAGTGTACTTAACGGCTTGTAACGCTAAAACTCGGTACTCAATCCCTGCAATGGGTACAGCGCAAATATCACTACAAAAAGCATTTACTATTTTGTAATTGTTCGAGTTACTGGCAAAATATGCTATAATAAACAAATAAGGAAAGATTCCAATAATATTGATGAATTGTGATGAGTGCTTGTTTGATTTAACTGTTCTAGTACCGCCTACTTCGGTAGTCATTAGCGATTACGAAAATGGAAGTGTAGTAGAAATCCATCAACTTCAATCTCTGAGCCTAACCTGTACAGTGATTGGTGGAAAACCAGCAGCTCATATTAAGTGGTTCCGGAAGAACGTGGAGCTCAGACCAGGTGAGCTACAATAAGCAAAGTGACCTTTTCAGGTCACCAACTTTAAGATTGTTTTTAAGTTGATTGTCTCTTAAAGTTCAGAAACAGAGTACTAATATGCTGTTTTTAGTTGTTTTTTACTGAACGCAGTAAACCTATATTTATACAGAATTTGAAGAATATGTAGTACTGATACTACTAATTTATTCTTCCAAACAAACGTAAAAATTGCCGAAAGGGAATAAATGTAGGGACCCAATTACTTTTTATGTGGGAGGTCATCTTTTGGAGTTACACCACTGGACAAGTGATGAATCGAATGATAGATTGAATTTCGTATTTATTTTGAAGTTAGAATACTTGGTCGATAGTTTATTTGGATATAATTCTTTATATTTGTTTCACATACATGCACATTTAACTATATCATAATGACAAGCAAAATCCTTCCAAAGAATGAGAAATATTTGAGTTATATTTTAGAAAATGATTCAATCATATAAGTACTTACTACATGTTCTGATGGAAATGTTCGAATAGAATACGCGTTAACTTTGTATGTATCTTAATATTTATTTTGTTTTAACTTATCAACAATTGTTTTTGTGTGCTCAAAGTCTGTGTATTAGTATTTCTCCAGAACATCTGTATGAGCTATGTGCTTTGTCAGTTGATTTGCTTATTCCTTAAATAGACTTGCAACTTTACAGATAACGTTGAGACTAAGACGAAAGAGGAAAAAAAACAGAAGTTCAACACTGTAAGTACAATCACCTTAACTCCTAACCCAGACGACAACGGCGCCATCTATACGTGCCAAGCAGTTCATCATGCATTGGTCAAACCGCTGAGATCCTCTGTAATATTGAGTGTTTTGTGTAAGTAAATTGTCAGTCATGATACCTGACACACTCAAGTAAATATATATATATATTTGGTCATTGTAAAACAACAGTAGTTTAAAAGACTAAATCTATAAAAACTGGGATCCTTAAGTAAATCTTTCACAACCGGACTTTTTCCACTCATTTAAAAAAAAACTTGCTTCGAGGTTAAAGTAATAACTTCATACAGAAACCACATTCATATGTTCTGTAAAACATTAAAGTCTGTCGTACAATTTTAGTAACTCATCGATATATATATATATATATATA